GCTTGAACACCCTTGACCGAGGACGGGGGAGTTAGATCTTGAATAGCTTTTATCTTGGCCGGGTTGACTTCGATTCCACGTTGGCTGACCATATAGCGTAGAAATTTTCCAGACTCAACTCCGAAGGTGCACTTCTTGGGATTAAAAACCATAGAATAAGATCGGAGGATATTGAACATGTCCTTAAGATGTGTCATATGATCAGAAGCGTATACCGATTTGACGAGCATGTCGTCTACATAGAATTCCATGGTATGACCTATCAAATTGGCAAACATCTTGTTGACAAGACGCTGATAAGTGGCCCCAGCATTTTTTAATCCAAATGGCATCATTGTATAACAATACAAGCCCCGCGCCGAATAAAACGAGGTGTGTTCTGAATCTCAGGATCCATAGGAATTTGGTTATAACCAGAGTAGGCATCCATAAAGCTCATCAACTCGTGTCCCGATGTGGCATCAACCATATAATCTATGTGCGGGAGCGAGTAACTGTCTTTCGGGCACGCTTTGTTCAAGTCGGAAAAGTCGATACACAACCTCCACAGGCCATTGCTTTTCTTGACGAGGACGGGGTTTGAGACCCACGTTGGATACTTGGCTTCTTTAATGAATTTGTTGTTGATGAGTTTCTTAACTTCCTCTTCCAACGCTTTCTGACAATCCGACCCCATTTTTCTTCTTTTTTGAACGATTGGTCGGACAGTTCGATCAAGATTCAACTTGTGACTAGCGACACCGGGGTCGATGCCTTTCATATCTTCGTGTTTCCAAGCAAAAACATCAGAATTATTTCTAAGTAACGAGATGAGTTCAGACCGAAGGGGTTCTTGTAAACGGCTCCCAATACGCAGCGATTTCTGACGTGTCGGCTCGTCAACATAAATTATCTCCACGTCTTCTCCGGGTTCAGCTCGATCACTTTTGCTTTTTTCTTTGAACTGAGCCCTTGGGTCCAATTCTTCTTCTTCAAGGATTGGTTCTTTTCCAGGTCTTCGGCCTCGGTCTTCGGTCAGAAGATTCGAGGTTAAGGGAGTAGAGACTTCTCGACTAGGTTCCTCGGGAGGTGTATCGCCTGAAGTGGCTGATGGCAAGGAATTCTTTTCGGTGACCGAAGTGGTGGAATGGACTCCGGCGGACGGTATGAAAGTGATAAGTTCTCGAGCTTCTCGTTGATCTCCGTAATGTGTTCCTTCGCCGCGTGTCGTTGGGAATTTAAGGGCGTAGTGAAAGATGGAAACTGCAGCTCAGAGTTTGTACAGAGCGGTTCTTCCGATGATCGCATTGTACTCGTTGTTGATGTCAAGAACTTTAAAAGTCTCCATAACAAGCTTGGTAACGTGTTCAGCCATACCAAACCGGACAGGTAATGTAATCTCGGCTATGGGTCGTGAAATGCTCCCGTTAAACCCTTGTATTTGGTCGTTGCAAGGTCGGATGTCGGCGGGATCAAGACCCATTTTGTCAAAGGCTTTTAGCATCAAAATGCTTGAGTAGGCCCCGGTGTCGACCATTACGCGATGTATTGGGATTCCACATATAAGGACGGTAATAACAAGTGCATCAGAGTGAGGGTGTGCAAAATGATTCGCATCCTCCATATTGAAAGTTATGGGACAGTTCCGGTTATTGAGTATTTCTCTCAGATCGGTGGTATACACTTGTTTACCGGAATTGTAAGCTTGTCGGGCGTAAGCCTTGATTTGCCGACGAGATGAAGTACTTCGGGAATTGTTTGTATTTACTCGATGAACGGTAATTTGCATCAGACTAGGAGATCGACTTCGTTTTCGTCCTCGAGAGTTTCCAGTTATTTCAGTGTTGAGTGTTTCTGAGGTGAACATGAACACTTCTTTGTCTCCTTGTCGGATGCGCTTCGGCATAGCACCTCGGTCTTCATCTTCATCCTCATCATAAGGGTCAATTTGGCATCTCGGCCCCCGTTTCTGAGGATCAGTATTGCGATAGAATTTCCTGAGCAGTGGATGATCGATTAAACGCAACAGGGCGGCCAACAGAGTCAAACATTCATCAGTGTTGTGCCCCGGTGATTTATGATAGTCACAATACCGAGATTTATCCATTTTTTCCTCGGGCATCCGAAGTGGTTTGGGATCGGGCAGAATGCCTTTCCCTTTAATTTCTTCATAAATGGTTGCAGCTCCGGCTGAATAGACGGTTTGATAACCGGATTTCACGTCAGTAGCATATTGTTTTCGAGCTGCTCTAATTTCGGGATCGTTGGCGTCTCCTCGAGGATATCCTCTGAATTGAGCTTTGTTTTGTTTATCGAAAAATTTGTGTTTCTTTTTCTCGTCGGTTCCCGACTTGGAGGACTTCGGATTAAAATTGAAATCGGGAACGGACATGGCTTCCTCAGCAATAATATGCTGTTGAGCTCGGGCCAGGAATTCTTGAAAGGTGTTCGACTTGTTTTGGCACAATGTCCAGCGAAAAATCGAGTTTGGTTTCAGCCGGGCGATAGCTATAACGAGCAGAGTTTCAGGATGACATGGCTCCATGTTCTAAACTCGGTCGTTGAACCGAGCAATATAATCCTTGACGCTTTCATCGTCTTTTTGAGTCACATTTGCAAGGGATTCTTTCGGAATCAGACAAACTTGGGCCCCGATGAAGTGAGATCGGAAAGCCGACCTCAACTATTGCCACTTCCAAATAGAATGAAGAGAAAGAGAATGGTACCATTTCTGAGCCCGAGGCCCCAGTGTAAGGGAAAACATTCGGTACCGAAGTGCGTCTGAGGCCCCATGCAGGTCCATCCACGATGTGTAATGACCGAGGTGTGAGTCAGGATCCGAAGACCCATCGTATAATCCGATTTGAGGAACCTTGACTTTTCCGGGCACAGGTTCCGAAGTGAGTTCTGGCGTGAGAGGGGAGTCGGCTTCCAGATATACTTGCGCCGAGGTTGAAGCCCGTCGAGGAGGATCTTCGGGCATCCTTTGCCGACTTTTCAATTCGGCGATCCTTCGCCGCAATGTTTCAAGCTCGGAGGATTCTTGACGAGCTCGGTTTCTCTCAATATGCTGACGAAGGTCGGTTTGCGCCGGGTTAGAGGGGATTCGGTGATGCGTATGAGGTGGTGAACGCCGTGAGTGTCCAGATTGACTCTCGGCGGTTTCTTCACGAGGAATTACAAGGGGATTACGCCCAACGTCAGCGTGACGTGTAGTTTGTTCTGGGTGCGGCTGCGACGTTCGACTGCGAGGTTGGGACGTGGCGTGAGAAGTGGTTCTGCCACCATCTTGTCGCACCGGTGGGATCTGCGGATTAGCAGGAGTTGTTGGTATTATGGATTGTCCTGGAACAGTCGTTGATGTTCCAGGGATTGTTTGAGCCATCAAAGCAGCGAACCCACGTGCAAACTCTGGATTCTGGAACAGATCAGTATAGTTTCGGATATTGGGAGCTGCTGTTTGGCGTCTGGCAGACTGAGCGGCGCTGCGACTGTGGCCATCTCGCGATGCATGACCACGATGATCCGAATGCGACATGGCTGTAGTTGATGGAAAGAGCGGAACAAGAATCGGAGATTAACCTCAAATTACTTATGAGGCCCTCCTTCTAGCGCCAAACTGTTGTTGTATGATTCTTAACAACGATCTAACAGTGGATTTATATGATGATTATGAGTGATTTGAGCGTACAATATGTAATAAATACTCAACAATGGCCCCGGTCCGAGGTGGACCGAGGTGAAAAGCCTCTGTGGGCTGTTACGTGTTTCATTGTAAGAAGTTCAGGGATCGAATCCCGTACAAGTATCACAAGCCTATTATTTATAGTAACTTTTTAGGACACATTTCGGGATTCGTGCATTGCTTTTTACATAAAGCTACTTTTTCGTGGGCGGCAGGAGTAGTGGGTCCCACTTGAATGATAGCAGACCTCGTAGTTTGCGAGAATGGCGTGTAGGCGCCTTGTCACCTGTTTAGGAGATGGCGACCTCGGTTTATAGTGATTCCGGTTTTGGGATGACCTCGGTTGCGAAGATTACCTCGGCTTTCTGTAGCTTGGCCGGTTCGGTGGATGGACCAGGATAACCGGTAGCCTTATTATTGTTGGTGATATTTCACTTAATACGCGGTTTAAGGGTTGCTAACTTCAGGTTACCGAGTTGGATGGTAACAATATTTATGTTTAATGTAGTTATATGTTGTAAGTTAAAAAAAATTATTATAATATAACACATGTAAGTCGCACAAATAAAAAATATTATACTAATATATAATAGATGTATATTTTTTTATAAAAGGTATTTAAATTTTCAACTACCTTTTCTCATTAATTTTGGATTTTAAGAAAAAAATTAGCAAACACCCGTGTAATACACGGGCGTTGTACTAGTTATGTTTATATAATTGAAAATATAGAGTACAGTCAAAGCATAAACTAAGCCGTAAGTTACAAATTTAGTGCTTGTTTGGGAGCACTTCTAGAAAAGTCCATTTCGTAAATGGACTTGTACAAAATGGAATTCTCCAAAAGTTCACATTCTTTACTTCTATAGAATGGACTTCTTGGAGAAACAACTTATCTATAAGTCCATTCTTGATTCAACGTAATATGTATATAATTGTTTGGTTGGTAATGTACGACATGTGAGGCTAAATTATGTACAATGTATAAATAACCTTTTGAAGCCCAAATTAACGAAGTTTACGTGTGGCCGTGGGGGTTCTTTTTTCCTTTTTTTTTTTTTTTT